GCAGGAAAAGGCAGAGCTTCTAGTAAAGGAAGGTTTGGAGAAAAGTCCTTTCTGTTCCATTTCATTTCCCAAGTTCTTTTTCAGCAGTTTAAGATTTTCAGGCACAGATGTTTAGTTTCAGTAGAAAACACTGTATCTCTATACCAAAACCTGCTGTGGCAATCAGCAGCGAGATGTGTGCTGCAGAACCTACAGTGGCTCAGACGTAAGTTTGGGAATCCCAGTAAGACAGTATTGGCTCATCACTCAGCCTCTAGAGTGGCCTTAAAAATAATTTTCTGCTCCTCTTACTGTGTGATTAATCCCTTAACGTAGTTATGTCTCCTGCTATATCTCCCCTTTTTCCATGACTTGTTATTAGCCCATGGTTTAAGTACCACTGCCTCTTCAGCGATGCCAGAGATGAGCAATGTCCTCGTATGAGCTCTCGCTTTTAGCTCAGGACCTTACCAATACTATTTATTTCCACAAAATAATTAATCTCTTATTTCTATTTCATTATTTATCCGAACTCTTTTTGAATATTGCCATCTCTAGTGAGGGAATATCTTTGGATCGGTGGAATTCATGTTATTAAATCTATTTTACCACCTTCGAGAAAAAAAACCAGCTTCCAGATCATGTTTGCTTTCAGAAACAGACAATTACAAACTCAACCACTTCGTACTTTTCATAAATTTGCAGTTTGAAGTGCTAAAATACAAGGCATTCTGTAGAAAATCCCCTGCCTTGGAAAATGCATGAGATTAGCTTTTTCTAAAATACGAAATCTCTGTTCTTATAGGGAAGGTGGACTACAAAGTGTGGCAAGCCAACAGAGTGCACCAATTGCATGCTGAGTTATACCTGACCTCTCAAACAACATTTTTCTTGGTCAGCCATCTAAAGACCCCAAGGACAGCTACACCACAACTGCCTTTGGCAGAGTTTGAAAGAGAAAAGATGTAGCTTTTCCTACTGTGTTCCTCATTCAGGAGATGGGCAACCTTTATAAGGTACTTAAATGTCAAGTTGGGCTTTAATACAAAAACTGGTGCAAAAAATACTTGTCAAAAGACAAAAATGTCACAAAAATATTATTAGACAACTTCAGATGCTGTGAAAATAATTTTGGTGTAAATATTTTGATTCAGGACCCTAAATTAACCATCTGTTATTTCTGATGGGAAAAACCTGTCAATAAAAGCATGGAGAGCTGGAATGTGGAACTCTAGAATAAGTGGGTGTGCTCCATAAAAAGCATTTTTGAGAAATATGCCAAGTCATATACTTATGTCTAAGCTAAGCCTTACAAGCACTTCAGTGTTGCTGCTCAGACAATGCCATACTCTGGCACAATACTGCAAGGTTCCCCGTCATAAAAGCGTTAATGAGTTTAACATCTTAATGAAAAGCGAGGAAATGAAGTATCATTGTATGCCCTGGTTATTCTTATTACCTTACAGCTTGTTCTAACAATAAGCAAATTCAGGAAATAAAATGAAAATGCAGTGTCTTTCTCATACTTTGGTAACACTTACTCCTATTGCTTGGGCATCTTGCCCTTGATTCTGTTTTACAATCTCCAGATACTAAATCATAGGTGGTTTGTGATGGAATACTTAGATTCTAAAAAAATATTCTGACATTATAGGGATTTTCTTACTGTTCTTTTTGTCCTACAAGCTACAGTTGTGAGACTGACCTTTTCAATTAAGAGAATGACAGTCCCATGCATACTAGAGTTACCAAACTTCAACTACTTAAAGTTAACTCTAAAATTCACATTACAAAATAATGATCATATTAGGTGCCTAAACTAAGAGGGGTGCATTTTAAGAGGATAACATTAATTACCTATTCAAAGAGAAAATGCTAGACAGTTCAATTTTGAAAGTTTACCTCATTCTCCAATAGCAAACTGCTATTTAATAGGAAATACACATTTTTAAATAACTTTAAAATCATTCTTCCAGTTCAACTGAAGGTCTTGGTATATTACTAAATACCAAATATCAAGAAGAATGTATTTGTTTATGTCAAACAGCTTTTATTTGATGGTTTTAGGATACTACTGTTCCTATACATGCCTGAAGAAACTGTCTTACGCTGGTGGTTCGTGTATCATCTTATTTCAATATTTTACATTACTGTCAGTGTTTGACAGGGAGATACCAGACACAGCTGCAGCTTCGCCCTGGACAGCTTCATTGGATTGGCTGGTGCTCTGTGATGAAGTATTACCATTCAGTGGGTCTGCATTCTGTGTTTCTCGCTGGGCATCGGTGGGATCTTTCTGGTTCGGATCAGAGTTAGTGCATTTTTCTGAGTTGGATTCATCACTCAGAGGACTGTCGAAAGAGACTACTTGTAGGACGATGGATCTGGGAGGACAGGTTGTACCATCGCTTCCCTGACTACTCTCATTTTGTATCCTTGTTGTCTCTTCCTGTAACTGTGCATCTGTGGAATTTCTGCTTTGGTCTTTTTCCTGTTCACCAACATTTTTCACAAGTTCTTCTACAAAGAGGGAACAAAATATGTGAATTAGATAAGGACATGCCACAATTGTTTGATTTCAGAGTAGTGACTGACGGAGCTGCACAAAGGAACACTCTGAACACTGACCTTCTGTGTGGAGACGTGCACTGGTGTGTTTAATATGAGTCAGATTCCGCTCCTGATTACACTATGGCCACTGAACCATAGTGGTCCACTTTCTGGTTTGATCTCTAATTTGTAACTCCTTTTTTTTTTGTCCACAGGACAGAGCAAGGAGCCTCATCAGACATACTGTAAATGGAAGGATGGGAGCAGGAGGACCCCATGCTGCAGGCACATCCCCCAGCAGTGGTGTTTATCACCACAGCACTAGGAGGAGCAGAGCTCATCAGTTCTGCAACAGAAAAAGGGCACGGAGCGGAGCACCTTGCTGGGGATGGGGGAGGCACCAGAACTAGAAGGAAAGCCCTGAAGGAAGATGGCCTACCAGCCTGGAAAAGTCTAAAATGTCAGCTAGTACAGAGCTTCAGCAAGAAAAAGTTCTAGAGGGTTACACACATGCAATCTAGTACTGCAGCCGTTATGGCTATGGCACATACAGGATGGGAAGGAAGAAATACAGGGGAAATTGTGCCTCAGGGGAGAACAGCTCCAGGACAAAATAATGCTTGTGGAAGGCTCTATTCTTTGCTCTATTGCTGAGGCTGGGAGAACCGTACAAATGAAATGGCCCAGAGTAAAAGGAAACACAGCTGAGCAGCACAGAGGGATGGTACCAGGAGGAACTAGAAGATGAAGAAAACAGAGAATGGAAAACTTGTTGATGGAGGATGAAAAGTTTGATAAAAAAATAACTGTACCATCTTTATGGAGCCTATTTGCCTTGCTATAAGAATCTGTTTTGTAAATTCAGATTTTAGAATCTGTATACTACTATAGAAGATACAAAACACTACCAATTTAAAAAGCGAAAGCATTGCAGTTTGAACAACGTCTCCACAAAACAGCTGCATGATACTGCATTAAATTTCTAACTTGTCTGTGCCCACTTTATTAAGGAAGGAAAACAAGCACTCAGACATTTATTGAGTAACTCTGAAACTCTGGTTGTGAGTGAGCAGTCCAAATCCAGAACAAAAGTGATGGAACAACAATTGAAAGACAGCCCAGACTGTCATCACATTTCTACCACAGTCAGCATCTGGCATCTTCATCACCTCACTTTTCAGAACCCAAGGAAAGTTCTCCCTCAGGTAACATTTGGCCTGTGAAATGGGGCAGAAAAGAACACCTCCAAACCTGAACTTATGTGCAGAAGCATGGAATAGTTAAATAATTTCCTTCTTTTGTCAGCTCTTTACTTCCTGTCATACTTTAAAAATAAATCAAGATATTTCAAATTTGAGTAGTTTATAAATTGTTAAGCTTTTTCTTTATAAATTGTTAAGCTTTTTCTTTTTTTTTTTTTTATTTTTTTATGAACTTTAGAGACCTGCTTGTTTTGGACTCCAAATCTTCTGAAACTCGGACAGGTATTTTTTTTCTTGGTACTGTTTTTTTCTTGGTACTGTCTCTCATCTATGAGAGAGTCTATGCCCTGACTTGTTTTGCTCCACTCAGCTTCAATCCCTGTGGAATCCACTGCCAAAAAGATGACAAACACGGGAGTCTTATGGTACATTAGCCACTTGTGGAATATGCTATATGTGTTAGAAAAACACAGATTTCTGCTTTCTATAACAGCTAAGAATTGTACTCTGCATTTTACAGGACCTTTATACTGTACATCAAGATTGGCATCTTCTATCATTTCTGCCACACTATCACTCTGATGAAACAGAAATATTTAACAGTCTTTAAAAGGGTCTGAGTGACCAAATAACTAAAATTCAAGCAAAGCACTGCTAAGTTAACACTAGTGTTAAGAGAAGCAGAGTTGACATGTTTGATCCCCCGTGCTCGACAGTAAGATTTGTAATAGATACTGTGACAGAGCCTCTGCTTCCATCCAGCCAGGAACTGCCAGGACCCTCACCCTGCACTGGGCTCCTGGGTAGAGCACGTTCATTGCTGTGGCCAGCGGGAGATGAGGTATGTTAAATGAACAGTGTAACTTGGCATTTGCAACTCTGATAATATTTAATGAGAGTAAATAGATGAATAGGATTAGTAAGTTTAAACAACCTTCTTGGCTCTCTAGAAAACTCACTCATTTTTGGGAAGGGGTTCAGTTAGGCACTGAACAGCTGAAGGATTATCATATCCTTTTAGATAAAGGCAGACACAAGTGTGTTGTGCAGTGCAGTGAACTCAGTGAACTCGTGTTACTGTTGCTACTGGTTTGGCTTTCTCTGTTTTTACTTGGTAAAACTGCCTGGAGCCAGGGCTCTTTACATATTTTCAACTGCTTGGCATTGTTTTCTTTACAAGAACCCAAGAATTATTCAGCAAAATGTGAGTTCCTCTGTAAAACAAACAGCTTCTCCTAACTGGTCTGTTAGGGGTGACTCAATCTTATGCCCCTCTTCTGTACTTCTGGGCCATTTCTAAACTCCTGCCTTAAATCACTAAACTTCATGAGAAGCAACAAAAGTATTTGACAAATAAACATGGTAGAACTGGTGTCTTCCTTCCTTTGTGTTTAGGCTGGGCTGTTGGCAAAATAACTGTAATGCATTGTTGTGTTTGGAAAACTCCCAGGAGTCATTAAGGCGATATCCAAATTTCAGAATAGTTGAAAAGTTCTGGTACTTCGTAATTTTTCATCTACAGAAAATGTGATAACCAGGGAAGGTGACTCCTTTCCTCTCCCCTTTTCTTCAGCTTCCACACTTCTTTCATTAAGTCACCTTTTTTTTTTTTTTTTGCTTAATAAGTCTCTGAAAATTGAAGCGAGCTCTTTCAGTTCTATTTTTTTATTGTTTGCTGGAGTGAATGGGAACACTAAATTCCTGCCAGCCCAACAAAGGAAGGAACTGCACCTTTCTACAAGACATGTTCTCACATCAGCCATTTTAAACAGAAGAGGAACAGAACAGCAATAAGCATAAAAAATTTGTAGAAAACATGAGGACTAATCCTGCTGCCCCTGAGGCTCCCAAGTAAATTTAAAGGCAAGTCCAAGAGTTCTCAAACGACTGTGATCTTTCCCAACCAACCTGCCACTTTCAAACAGAAGAATACATTGTAGTAACCTCAAACAACTGTGATCTTTCCCAACCAACCTGCCACTTTCAAACAGAAGAATACATTGTAGTAACCCACAGAGTTATTTAGATACTATTATTTTAATAGCCATTAAAACTTTTTACTAAAAGGTTTGGTTAAAAATAATTTGTGTTCACCGTTTCCTAGGGTGGCTGTAGGCACAGGGTCTTGAATGCTGGGACTTTTGGGACTGGTGAAGGAAGGGACATGCTGCTCTGAGCCTACTAGAGGGAAAAAGTGGCATAAGTCATGGAGTTTGTCACGTGCAGAGGCAGGTCAGCTCTCTGGTGTATACTTCAGGAGGGTATACAACAGGTTTCATTATCAGGTTCAGTTATCATTCATTGTTCCATGATTTACCAGATATCCAATACAAAATGTTTCTTGTTCCTTTCAGCTCAACCCATTCATTGCACTTCCTCAGACCACGGTGAAAAATTCTCCTTTTCCCACTATTCTTAACACTTCTCTGGATTAGCTCAAAAACTGCTTATGACCTAAACGTTTTAGCACTGCAGTTAAAATCACTGCCACTGGTCCTACATGGGTCTCCTTTAGGCCCCTGAATTTATTTTTCTTGAGCAGATTAAAACAGTCCATTAGGGTAGACTTCATGTGCCAAGCTGTCAGTCGGTTTCTGTGACTGCCACACATGTCCTCCCACCACCCGCCCTTCCTAGCTGCTGCTAAATCACATTAACATGCTATCAGACCATCACTCTCAGATTTTCATATTTCAACAGCTGTTACTCTCTTCTTATTAGTGAGTCTGCAGAGAAAATTCTTCAGACAAATGGAACCAAACCCTGTGGTTATTGTGACTACAAGTACGCAGGATTGAAAGTGCCCGAGGGGGGCCTGCAGGTACCACGCAGAGGTCTTTCAGAAGAGACATTTGTTATTCGAAGTTGGTGTCCATAGAATAATAATAATAAAAAGAAAGCTCATCGCTTCTCAAAAGATGCAATAGTTGTCATGTTTTTAATATTTTTACTATCAAAATTAAGCACAGGACAGTGAGAGAGCCTCTTTCAGCCTCACATGTTTTTCATCCTGTCCTGATGCGGTCAGTCATCCTAGACATACACCTTCAAGCTGTGCAGCACAGTGCACTGCCAAAAGGTGTTGGGGACAAGGTTTGCCACTGATCACTTTCCATACAAATAATGCAACCCTTATTCAGGTCCTGTAACAGTTAATTCTTCAGAAGAGTTGCATAAGCATAAAATGGGAACAACAAGTAACACTGCTGTCGTATTACCCTGGAGATGAACAATGTTGGCATGCTTCAGTGATGGGCCCATCGGACTGGCAGCTGGGCCCTTGGTCTGTATGCTGCACCCCCTCATGTTATTATGTGACCTGAGGTGAGTGTCCTAAGCTGTCTCTGAGTCTTTTTGCTCAACTATAAAGTGAAGCTAATGATACTTATTTATCCCTGCAACTTTATTTACGATGATGTCTACTGAACAGATGGTAAGCATGATTACTAGACCATAGCCTTTTACTCTGTTTAGAGTACCTGAGCTTGATGAACACTGACCAACTTGATTAGTAAATCTTTCCACAGTAAATTAGGAAACTAGTAAAACATTTTCACATATCACAATAAGCATGAAGGAATAAACACTGTATTTTTAAAATACTAAATCACTGTGTTACAATTCCTCTGTGTTCTAAGAACTGCATCATGAAGGATGTCACATGATATTTAAAACTTTCCCGACAACTTGTGTGTTCCTTACAGCTTTCTCAGTAGGTCAATAACCTCCAGGCTTTAAAAGCCATTTAGCAAACATTTTCTCTAATGAAACAATCTCAGACTCATCTGGGTATCTCTACTCTCTATTTGCTACAACAACCACAATTGCAAATAGCAGCAGCCTTCACAGCCATGTGTTGAAAAAAGCATGGGATGAAATGGTCTCTTTATCACTGTGTTGAGTTGAACAAAGAGAGATTATCTGGTGATTAGGGGTTTGGAATATTAATTAAACATCAAGGCTCTCAAATTAGAATCCCAGATGTTTGATCATTATGGTAATTCCCTGTTAACAGCATTCCCTGAAAGGCCTGAGAAACATTCCTCTAATTCTCCAGTGGTGAAAGGTTGAGGACCCTTAGGCTATCCAAGCGCTCAGCTCTGCTGCATCAATTATACAAGACATGGCCTTTTTAGCAAAATGGAGCCATCTTACTTAGGAGCCTTCTGTTAAGGAAGCTCCCAAACAGCTGCCTAGGTAGATAAATGCTTTTCTTACTAACACGGGCCTTTCCAAAACAAAGCACACTGTTCCTTGCCCAAGATGCTTGCTTTGAATGAAGTCTCAGCAGCAGCTACCTTTCAGGGAGGGGTAGCACCAGTAGCTGTGTCTGCTGCATCTCCAGGAAAGCTGCCCTGCTGACAGCAGTGTCAACACGTCTTGGTCTCCTGCTCTGGCCTGTCTAGTCATAGGAGTCAGGCCATCTTGCTCAGCCCTCCTTCACCTCTGGCTGAGCTGCCTCTGAAGCAGTGATACCTGCATAGTCTTATCCTGAAAAGGTGAGAACCTGGAATGAGAAGTCATGCTCAGCAAATTATTGTCACTAGTTTCCTTTCTATATACTTGTGCATCTGTATTACTACATTTTATAGAGACAACTTCCATGTCTGTGCTGTATTACCAAATGTATAGCGACAACTTCTCCTGAGCCTGTGAACTAATCTGGGAACAATGTCTAGTGTTTGCAGAGCCCACTGACAAGAATGCAGACGGTTCTTTTAACAGCACAAGTACTGTTTGTCATAGTCGCCTCAGGAAGTGTGTTTGGAGACCTACACTAACAGCCAGCCTGCTTACCACTGTGGCATACTGCCCTCATACATGTGACCTCCTCAGGGCACTCAGCTCTTTGTGGTTTGTCATACTTCATCTAGCTAGGAATAATGATAGTGCTAACATCGCTCCTTTCACCTGGCAGTGATTTACCCCTGATATTTCTTCCCTCAGCACATGTTCCTACTATCATATGAATAAAACACAACTTCATACATATGCCCAGAGCAACCTAAGGACTTTTTATCAAGCAACAGTCAGAGAAGGTAACAGGAGATCCAGACAGGATGGAACAAACTACCTGAGGTTCAAGGTCTCTGGTTATTCATTTACAAATTTAGTCAAACTGGAGCGCAGTCTGAAAGGAATTTCAAGTGGAAAGGAGATGTTATTTTAATATTTTTCATTCTTTACTAGATACTAATTTTGCACAGCCTGATTAAAGATTTTCAGCCTTTGCAGGGTGCAGCTTTGGAGCAGATATACTGCTGATCTGAACCAGTTGGGGAAGATTCCTTCTCCCATTAAGTGACAAGGAATTTATGTGCTACTTCAGACAGTGGTACCTCACAAGGTTCCTCTAGAATCCGGCCAAGTACCCTGAAGATCTCTATGCCATGTTCCAGTCAACTGCAGATGTTGCTGCAAGCAGTCTCTTTATAGGCACCTTTTTCAATAAATCTGTTCATTGCTCTCACAAAGGTTTTGCAAAACAGATCCAACCACAATCACACAGAGCAGATATTGTTCATCAAGTTCTGGCCTCAACACCAGCTATTTCCACTTACCCATCAGTTTTCCTAATGTACATCCTACTGTAATTCCATAACCCTGTGCAGGAAATACTTAGACATACTTCATTAGTAAAGTTGATGGAAGAAAAGAAGGGCACCCTAGAATACAGACAACTATAATCTCAACAAAGTCCATGGAGTCTTGAACAATAACAGCTCTGTTTTTCACAGTAGAAATCTTGCCCAGAGTTTCCTGGATCTTGCTGGGCGTCACATTCCCTGCAGTCAGTATCAGGTCATGCACAGAGAGACCAGTCTCAGCAGTGAAACACTATACTGAAATATTCCAGGTGCTTACTCGGAAACACCACAGACTGTGGACAAAATATTCCTCAGTGCTATTCACATAACCTGGATCCAGGTTATAAATTGTGTTCAACAATTATCAGAAATCCTTTCAGTCAGACAACTGTAATCCCTGACAATTTTCAGGTATGGCTTATGGCTTGATGCGGGTTTGGCTTTATTAACTATCAAATGGAAAATGAAAAGTCACTTTTTGCCTTGTTTGGGTCTAGCAGATGCAGTGATAGTCCAAATCTTTAGATCCACCAAGTCATTTAAATAATTGCCTACGGCATATTCCCAAGAATCCTGCAGTAGTGAATTTTGTTCCATACAGTAGGGAACAAACAGCATTTCTAATAGCTAATTACAACTTTTACATTTCTTAAGAAATGTGGCAGCACACGCTACTTTGAATTGTTGATTTTGACATTTAAAGCAGATGTCAGTATCAGTTATGATTAAAAGTGAAAGAATGCACATTTCTAAACCAGACCTCTAAAGATAAGCTGAGCAGCACAGAGCCTTATTGTATTTTAGGTCCTTTCCAACCTAAACTATTCCATGATTCTATGATTCAGCGTGCTACAATCTCCTCTCGTCCCCTGATCAACTACATCTCTTTGTACCTCCTGGGAGAGCAAAACAGGACCGTCTAAACAAACATTAAGACATAAAATATATTAATACAAGACAACTACATATTTTTATAGGTTGAAGGAAATTAAAAAATTAAAGTTGGGGGGATCTAAGGGAGTAACCTATAAAAACATTCCACTTTAGTATATCTTACCTTCTATTGCTAATTCTTTCCATCTTTCTTTGTTTGCTTGAATGATCTTCATCAAGTTGTCCTTAAAGCTCGTTAGGTCTACAGTTGCTAGAGAATTTTCTGTGTGAGTCCCCCCATCACTTGCACTTTTAAAACTGGGTCGTCTTTGTGCTTCAGCATTGCTTACTGCTCCCAAACTATTTTGGCTGCAGGAGGGAAAAGACCCTGAATTATAAACACAGTCAGGCAATTTTAATTATTGACACAAACAGTTATTTTGAATCAAATTCCTTAAAACCTATATGCAATGACTAACTTGAAATAATAGTTTTCACCGAGAGTGCTGAGATAAAAGACATTTCTTCAACTCACGAAGCTGTAACCTGGGACTGATTCTTACTGACTTTCTTTCAGGGTATTCTTGAAAAAAAAAAAAAATGTGGCTATTGCAAATACATACCGCTGCTAAAAATGGCTCAAGATAAGAAAACTAGGAACTTCAAGAATGTATTGAAAAGATTATAATCAAAGAAAAAAATAATCAGATATGTTGTCGATAATCAAGTTTATATTTTATACTTGCGTATTCTGCTTGTTACGGTGTTTTTTTTTGTTTTATATGCACAATCGTCCACAGTCAATGGAGTAATAGCATATTGCAAGTACAACATACCACCACACGATGGCAGTACTGTCCAGCTATTTATCTTATTTTCCATCTGCTAAAATAATTGCGAGACTTACACTATGATGTTAGTTTATGGTAGTTCAATAACTAAGCCGTGTATTCATACCTGGATGTCCCAAATGCAGGACTTTCAGATTTTGATGCTTCCTCTATAAGAGGCATAACAATTTTCTCCATTGAGTCCGTAAGAAGAGAAAATGTTGGTTCTACAATGAAATCAATGAAACCTAAAGAAGAAAAAGAAATAAAATAATATTTTACATTTCAACAAATCTAAAATCTAAAAATAAATACTTGACTTCAAGCTGATTTTCTGACTGTGTCTTGATTCAATATACTAGATACCACCAGTATAATCCTGAGGAAAATAGCCCAACTAAAACCAAAAACACCTGAAGCTGTAGAGATGTAACTAGACATTAATAATTATAACTTTTCATTCCTATTGCTTGCAAATTTTATGCACTCCAGAACACACCTGCCATTTGAAATTAATATTAATTATTGAATAGAAAGGAAGCTACTGCTGAA